GTCTTAGGACCTTTGCTCTTTTTGATTTACATCAATGAAATAGATGAAGAAATGGTCAATAAATTACTTATATTTGCTGTGAAGAGGATGCTGCTGATTTACAAAAGGATTTAGATCATTTAGTGAGTTGGAAAAATAAGTTATAATAATAATAAATGCAAGATAATTGTCAGGTATACACGAATGTTCATTTTCAGCTTAATACAAGAGTATTATTTAATTTATACTGTTCAAGTGTTAAAGTAAGTTATTTTTACAAGCAATAGGTATGGCAAATTTGCTTACGTAACTGTTTACAAGTCATATATTGTGTAGTTCAATTGTGAATTGAGGTCACATTACTTGAATTTTCTGTATTTTTCTGTTGCTTTAAGTATTGTTACATCATAGCATTTTGTAGTTTATAGAAAGTTCTAGGCCTCAGTTGGGCAATGTATGTATGTATGTATGTATGTATGTATGCGTGTGTATATATATATATATATATCTGTATAGACAACCAAGTTATCGCAAGTTAAGTTAGTGAAAGTAAGACAAAGTTATTGAGAGTTACAGATCTAGACTGTATTTGCAAGTTTAGCCATAAAAAAGTATATAGTGTCGACTTCAAAAATGTTATAACCATAGATTGTATTGTAATAAACAGAGTAGAGGAGAATAATTCATTTTTAAACTGGGTTTTAAAGTAACTGAACCAGCCTATGTGGACTTCTGACATAAAAGAAAATTATTTAAAGCTATATATACAATTGTGGTAACCCAAAGGGTGAAGTAAATAAATTCATCACTAATTATATTGTGATAACAGAGTAGAGGAGAATAATTTGTCTTTTCAAAGTGTGTTCTAAATTAATTGAACCTGCCTATGTGGGCTTTGAGAAAATGAGAATTATTTAAAGTTCTGGATACAACTTTGATAACTAATGGTGTAACAATTTGTTGCACGTACATTTGATGTGTTTTGAATATATTATTTTAAAACAAGTGAATTGTGTGCTGTCTGTTTATTGTTCAAATTTATTGTGAACAAATCACATATACCTATGATAAAGAACCTGGCCCTAACAAATACCTGAGAACAGTGCATGTGAGTTATCATAATTTGAATTATAATTATAATTTGGATGGGAATAATCTTAACAGTGCCATAAAAGAAAGGGATCTTGGTGTAATGGTTGATCAGTTTCTTAAACTATCTCAGCAGTGTGCTGTTGCTAGTGGTAGGGCAAATAGCATTTTAGGTTTTACCTACAGAAATATTAGATACAAGTCTAAGGAGGTTATAATTTCATTGCATAGGTCATTAGTTAGGCCATATTTGAAGTATTGTGTTTAGTCTTGGGCTCCTTACCTTAGGAAGGACATTGAATTGTTGGAAAGGGTTTAGAGGAGAGTTACTAGAATGGTGCCTGGGATGGAAGGGTTGTCATATGATGAGAGACTGAGTTCTCTCAAATTTTCTCTTTAAAAAAGAATTAGAAAGGATCTGATTGAGGTGTTTAAGATTGTAAATGGAATTGATAGTCTTAATGCATCATCTTTATTCATACTTAACAATGAGAATAGTATGACTGGGGGACACAAATATAAATTTTGGCAGGATAGGAATCACCTTCAGCTAAGACAGCAGTATTTTTCTAACGGGGTGGTTGGCCTTTAGAATGGGTTGCCTTTGGATGTTGTAAAGGCAGTATATTTAAGTGAGTTTAAGAGAAAGCTTGAATGATAAGGGCTGGCTTTAAGATTTTTTAAAACTTATTACTTAATAGTTTTAGTTTATAGGATGGGACAGCCAAGATGGACCAATAGGTCCCTTGTTGTCTCAAAACTTATTAATTGTTATATCCCTAAAATTACAACTAATACTTATTTTTTACTTTGTTAACGAACTTAAACTTATTGGAAGACTAAGAATGGAAATTCAAACAATCTATTTCAACTTTCTCTGAAGTTTAAGTTTGTGCTAATCTTTACACTCACACAAGTCACAGTCATATTATCACTATCACAGTATCAGTGTCAAATATATGATCAAGCTTGTTTTCGGCTACTTAAATACTTTAAAGGCCATGGTAATATGCACCTGCAATATTTCAGTACAGAATAGAAATATTCAATTCAAACGTAACAGTATATGTTTTTTACACCAATATTGCTCATATTAAACGGTAATACTATTACAAATTTAGCCTTAACAACAAGGCTTAGACATAGCCTAATTACGTTACTTTTCAAGTTAAACCTAACCTTAATCAACACTACTACAATGAAAACTATTGATACACATTTAACAACTGAATTTCACTTTTTTTTTATAATTATTTGGCAATAGATCTTAGGCAATGACAAAAATGTTAGCTAATATTTAAATAATTGCGGTGCTGGCGTGGTAAATAAGCTTACCATCGCAAATAAAAATTCTTTCCAATACCACTTCAGTGGCGACACCTGGTTCTGTTCATAAGCCTTTCAGGTAGAACTTGTAAGTTGTATACTCAAACAAGCTACTGACCGATGCAATGTTTGGCAACATAAGAATCGAGGGGCTTATAAGTTATAGGGCATCGAGGGTGGGGCAATAGATAAATAAAGATGTTAACAAATACTGAAATATCATTTAAAATTTAACTATTAAAATGCAACATTTTATTAAAGTTAAGAAAAGAACCTCGTAATCTGGATTAACTTATCTTTACCTGAAGCATACCGGCTGCTGTTTCACCTCCCCGTCACGCTAAATTCTCGAATATTATCGAAAATGACGAGGTCCTCCAGCTGTTCAAAACCACAGCAACAAAAACGCTTCCGTTCTCGTTTTCCTCTCTCTCTATCATTTTTTAGTAGATAATTATTTAAATAATTTAAATTCTAATAGCAAGTTAAATTACTTAATTTGTTATTATGATGCAACTGTATTGAAAAAATCTTCATTAATACAGATTATATTATCTATTATTTTAAAAAGTCGTTATCATTATACAAAAAATATTATTTTTTAGCAATTAATACTTTTAAAGTTTAAAGCTTGAGATATACATATGTTATCCAGTGCTTAGAAGTTAGTAATTATAATAGGGTGGTAACATAAAAAACATAGTGATAAATTAAATTATTCAACAAATAAAAAACTTTATAAAAAAAAAATTGATGATATTATCAGGCCCGTACGCAGAATGTTTAAAAGGGGTTCTAATTTGTGAGATCAAAAGCCATCACATATTGTGCCAAGCACAATCAGCATGCTAATGATAACGGGGGGGGGGGGGGGTTGAGGGCAAGCCCCCAGAACAATAGTAAAAAATAGGTTCTGTGAAATTAAATCTGGAAGCAGTTTTACATGAAATATAGCTTAAACAATTGCCAGGCTCTTCACATAAAATCCACAAACATTCAATGAAAAGTCAACAGATCATCATTCTATTGTAACACTGCATGGGGAGCTAGACTTTAGATCACGAAAATAGGGGGTTCAGCCAACCCCTCCTGCGTACTTGCGTGACCACGCAATAATAGTTATAAATGCTATCGGCTCAAACACTGCAGTGGTATTTCAATGATAAATGTAGCATATAGTTACCTAACATAATTTACGAACAACTAGGAACCATTTTGTACTTTAAGATTGTCCTTACACATTTCCTCTTGGGATAGGTAAAAATTGAAATCTATCCTCTACTTTTCAGGAAACCATCAGTTATCCTCTTAAATTCCTGTAGAATGGTGGATTCCATTACTGTCAACGGCAACTTATCCCATAAATGGCTTAATGCTCCTGTCCTTCGTACTAGGTCTACGAACTTTCAAATACTACGAAGATTAGGCATAACTGTGTGTTAGGTTTGTCCTTCAGTATATAGTGCTTATAACTCGATCTTTGTGTATTATCTCATCCAAATTTACTGTAAGAGAATTTGACTTTTATCTGTCCTGTAGTATACAAGTATACTGTGCGTTTTCTACTTCTTTATATTGTTACGTCTCTGGTCGTTAGTTAATTTTCCGTATAATTTCTTTCTCAAGAAACTTTAGCGATACAAGTCCTTTCTTA